CACCGAAAGGCAGCATCACATGCGGGTCAGTGAAAAGTTGTCCTGACTCCGCGCGCACCCACAAACTCGACAGGTTCAGCATCCTCATGTCATGCACACTCCCCGGATAACCGACGAAGACGTCCAGCAAACACAAGTTCATGTCGACCACCACTTGCGCCTGGACGGAGAATCGACGTCTCCTGTCGCAGTAGTCCTCACCGTTGGCGTTTGTGGGTTTGTCGATGTAGATATGTGTGCAGTCGATGCACCCATGGCAGTTTGGAAACCCCTTGTCCGCGAAGGCACGCAACACGACCGCCTTCTGCAAACCTGTGGGCCATGATATCTTGTCGGGGTAAGCAGTCAGCAACGCCGCCGTGACGTCACGCACCGCCGTGATGCCGGAAGCCCTCCCGATGCCGAAGCTACACGTCCCGCTGTCGTACGTCTCCCCCGTCGCCCACCTGTACAGTGCATACGCAATGATGTGGTCTGGCTGCAAAGGCACCCTGTAGAACGTCACACGGCGTTCAAGGAGTGAGGAAAGAGTCTCCGCGATCTCGCGGAAAACACGACGCGACATTCGAAGCTTCTCCTTGAAGTAATCATCCGTTGCGTCATCACATTGCTGCAGATCCTCCCACGTGCCGCCGGTTCGCCGCTTCACCCACCACCGTGGAGTCGCCCGTGGAAGCCCCCCGTACCCCATCGCGTAGCAGACCTCCAGCACCGCGTCGGAAATGGCAGCCACATCCAAGCACTGCCCAGTCGTCGGAAACGCCATGAGCTTGCGCCGTGCACGAACAGCCGCTTTGAAGTTCGCGTCATTGCTGGCCATCTGGCAGCGGAAGAGGACGGCATTAACCACCGCAGCAATAGCCGTCCTCTCCGCCGTCGTCAAACCACCGCGCCCTGCCCCGCCGTCAACGTCCATCCCAGATGCCGCTTCCGATGACATCACGAGATTCACACTGGACTCCACAAACACCGTCACGCGCAAGATCACAGCGTCGGTGGCTGTGCAATAGCTTGGGAGCCATGCACTGACAATGGTCGTCTGCCTTTCCCAGCGCTCACGTTTCGATGTCGTCTCCCTTGCCGCCGACGCGTAAACGACCGTGCTCATCGATGACAACCGCAGGGGACAATCGTCACTTATGCGAACGACACGAATGCCAGCCGCAGACGCAACCACGCCTGAGACGTACGTCCTCCACGCGCCGCCGATCGCAAAGCCTGATTTCAAATTTCAAATTTTGAACAGGAGCGTTGCACGCCATTTCCAAGGGCCCCGGTTTTGTTTTTTTTTCGTTTCCAGCCCTCCTTCCAATTCGCGACGGCCAACAAAGGTGGACCACCGCCGTCCACACGGACACAACTCGGTGGACCACCGTCAGCCCCACCCCCGCGTCGGCTTATGCATATATAAATCGGTGCCGCGGGAGCCCCGAGGAATCGTCCTCGGGGGTCAACTCCGAGGATGAGTGGAACGAAGGCGACAATTTCCTCCGGCGACTCCGAGGAATCGTCCTCGGGGCCCGAGGACGCCCCGAGGAGTGTCGAACGAGCCCCAAAGATCTCCTAACTTTTTCGGGTAATACATGTAAAATACTGACCGTGGGATCACAAATACTGCACCGCAGGATTTGGGTCACTCAACTGGCCCACAAACTCGTTTCTATCCTATCCCGTTGCTAGTGGGACCTCGCCCCTGCTCTCCCCACTGGTCGAGTACAACGACAGGCACCTCCAGAATCCTAGCATCCTTCCTCTACTACGATCTGGACTCCTTTCTATTTAAAAAAAAAAAAGAAAAAAGAAAAAAAAACTTTTTTTTTTCTTTTTCTTTTTATAGAGGAGCGACCTTGAGATATGAGCACTGAGATGACCTTCCCCCAAGTAACAATTACTGTTCGTTGTGGTTTTTCATTTTTTTTATGAAAGTTTGAAGACCTTGAGGCATCATTTTTTATTTTATTTTTTTTGGGAAAAAGCAAGGAATTCATTAATATAAACTTGAGGCCGAGAGCTTATTAACCAACCCCCCATTTTTCACCTCAATTATAACAAAACCATAAGGCCATTTTAAGCAAACTTCATACCAATGTATAGGGTGCACTTCTTACTAACATATTATTAAAAAAAAACTAAAAAACTATAATGAAGAACATATAAAACAGCAAGCCAAAAGTGCATTTTCAGGCAATTTTGCCAAAAAAAAATTCATCAGATTTTCAGGATTTTCACCACTCTTAACAGCACAAATTCTAATACTCCAAATGACACCAAATTTGACACACAGCAAGCTGGTCCAAAAACAAAAACAGGCAAAAAACAAAAATCCAAAAGAACACAAAATTTGACCCCGAAACCCTAATTTCAATAGTGACAGAGAGGAACACTGTCCTTCTGCTTTCCTGGGCACTCTCTCTCCCCCTGCAACCCTCTTGCCTCCTACTGCGGATATCAACCGAGTGCACCTGGTTTAAGCTCCTAAGACTAATTATATTCCCACCTTAGCTCAAAAGCCAATCTGCAAAGCAGAGCTTTCCATCGCTGCTAATGGAGACCAGTTTTCCTCTCTTACCCCAAGTCTCTGAAAACCATCTTCGGCCAGCTGTCCTTGAGGCATCATCAGCGAGCTGGTCGGGCAAGTTAATTGATAGTCATTTCATTCATATGATTCCATCATCGGGACTTGAACCCGGGCTAGGTTCCACTTACACGAATTAAGCGTTATTGACCGTAGATAGCCAAGATCAACGGCCAGAATCTCTTAATCCGTGCAAGTGGGACCTTGCCTCGGGTCTTTTTTTTTTCTCGTTTTTTGTTCCTTGTTCAATATAAGTTGGGAAACATGATCATTTTGTATAAAAAAAAAAAAAAAAAAAAGTTGGGAAAAGGTCCCAGCGTCCCTCATATAATGCCGCGGCCATACGGGGTGGACAAGGCACTTTCGGTCGAACCCATCCCCGACTGCAGCGTCACGAGATGAACTCGGGTCTCTTTATCAACAGTTAACACGGGTGTACCATTTTCACCCACGTGGGCTGGATTTATGACTGTTCCTTTCCCTTTTTTACTGTTCCATTCCCTTCTTTACTGTTCCATTCGGAACGCTGGAATTTCACAAGAGAGTTCCAAAAAAAAAAAAGAAAAAAAAGAAAAAAAAAAAGAAAACACATCATTGCGGGGATGGCGTTTGCTCAGCCGAACACTCAGATGCATCAATGAGAGCCTGTGAGATTTTTTCTCTCTGTTTTTTTTATTTTTTATTTTTTTTTTAATTTTGTAAGAGACTGTGATTCGGCCGTCTGTGGCTGTGATTCATTCATGAGCAGCAGTGCAGCAGTGGGAGAGACCGCCGTCCCCACAAGGCCAAGTTTTGCAAACAATTAAAAACAAAAACAGAGTTTTGGTCCAGTGCCAGCAAAGCAATCAAGTGCAATCATGACCAAACATCTCAGCCCTCAGTCGCGAGCAACTGGGATCGGACTGTTTCTTTTTTTTTTTTTTTTTCCTGTGTCTCTCTTGAGACCCCGACTTGTGGTATTGGCACTAGTAAATGAATCTGACTGCAATTTCAGCAACATCATGGCCCACACGTGATTTGGAAAATGTACAAATCTTGATACCCTATGAGGGGCATGTACCGAGGGGCAGAATTGACGAAAGGGGGGTAGGTGGGGTCTTGTGAGGAGGAAGAGCCAATTGTAAGGGATGAAAAATAACAAACAAAATTGATGCCCTCTCTATTTTCTGTTCTTCTTGCAAAAAGGAGTTATAATGGCCCTATGGACCAAGATACAGTTTCAAATTGCAGTTCGGGCAATGTATACAACCCAGCTTTCTGGCCCGGTAGGGTGCCCGAACTGCAATTGCAAACTGTATCTTGGCCCATAGTGCAATTATAACTCTTTTTTGTGACTCTGCTGCAGATTGCCCTAAAACGCGAGGAGGTGGGTGGGCTTTGCGGGGCCTTTGGCCCCTGCTGCGCGGGTGGTAGGGTTTTTCTGAGGGTTGCTGATGCACCATCATGGAGGGAGTTGGTGTTTGAGGGTGGGCAACGTGCCGGGCGGAGTGATCTGCTTTGAATCGCGAGGAGGTGGGTGGGTTTGCGGGGTCTGTGGTCACAGACCCCTGCCGTGCGGGTGGCAGGGCGGATCTCAGGGTTGGGTGGGTTGGGTGAATTTCAAGGGTGGTAGGCTTTGACTTTGTAGGGTTTGCTTTTGATGCTTTTTTAGGTAATTAGTGTTTTCGCACCACGGGGATTTTGTCATTTCGTTCATTTGTACTGTAGCTTTGGAACGGATCGTAATCACTTCTACGATGTGAGGGACGCCGGACCCGTTTTCCGGCTTTATAATCTGAAAGCGGCTGTCGTATGAACCAGGCCGGAGTGCCTGGATCATACGACACTCGGGCCGGCCTTTGTTAAAAAAAAA